AGTGCGAGCGGCGGGAAGCGGTGAGGGGATGTCGCGTTGTGTGGCCGCTTTGCTCCGCTCTGCCCCGGCACCTGCTCCGAGAACGATGCTTAGCACCTGCTGCCCGGCCAGGCGGCCTCAGGTAGGGGGCCGCGGAGGCGCGGGGAGGCTCCCAGGTTCCTTTTCTGCCTCAAGAAGTTGCTCTGCAGGCACACAACTTGTCACAACATGTGAAAATCTGACCCGGAGAGCGTGGGTGCAGATGTGGTGCGCTGAGAGACCCCCCTGTTGCCTGATCGGTACTTGGGCCTTGTGTCAGCTCTTGTGGCTGACGGGTCGGTACCTGCTAACCCCAAGCAGCCCCTGGGGCCCAGCAGCCCCACAGGTGGGTAGCGGTGCTTTTAAACACACACGTCAAGAACTCGCTCAGTGGCTAGAAAAGCAATGGCGTGGCTGGCTGTGCGTGGAAGGGCTGCGAATCATCTCACGGTGTCTTCCTCATCCGAATCGCAGGTTTAGCTTTGTGTAGTCATTTTAGTTACGTTTTGCTGAAAGGCTGACAGAAAATTAATGTAACTATGGCTTACTTTGTGAGAAATTTAAAATATGGGTGTGAGTTTTTATGGTATGTAGACAATACCGAGCCCACAATGAATGTGCTATAAGAAATCTGTGGAATTGTGGCAGAGTTGAAGGTTCACAGGATTATAATCCTAACTGAGTATCAGAAGCTCAGCTGAGATATGTGTACCCCTCTAAGGGACTTATCTACGTTATTCATTTAGTTTTAAGTTCTCCCACTGTTACAAATACTGCTTACTCTCTGCTGGTAGTTAAGCATTATAGAACATTGCTATATTTAAAAAAAAAACCCAAACCAAAACCAACCAAAAAACCATTAGCCTGGTAGTCTCAATGGACATCTAATCAACACAGTGTTTGAAATGACATCAATCTTCATCTACACTAATTCTCTCAACATTATTAACATATTTGTAGCAGTGTCAATGAGATGATAATGATAGCAGGACTCGTCAAAGAAATGAGCTAAACATTGACAAGGCCAGAGGCCAATTCTGTGCAGTGACTGCTGGTAAAGCAAAAAACCAGATCTAGTGTCCTTTTCTATAACATCAAGTTCACTTAACCTCGACTGAAGGAGTCATCAGATAAAACGGAAATGTCTCTCTCAAACATCGTTTAGGTTTACTGTCGCACAAAATAGTTCTTTGCTCATCCTGGTCCTGACCTTGTTCCCATGCAGGGAGGCAAACACCTTGCATGAACCCAAACACAACACCAGACCCACAATCCCTGTACGTTCTCTCTCCTAGAATGTGTATTTTGTATTTCTGCTCCCACTGAAATCAACAGCAGAGTGATGCCCTACCCAAGACTTATTACAAAGTGCTGTTCCATTAGCAGAGAAGCAGAGATTTGGTTAGTGATGCGTGTAAGCATATTTCATAAACAAAATATTTCATTGCTTGAGGCACATTAAAAAAAATAAGCCAAGCCCACTGAGGCAGAGCGGTTAGTCCCGTTACGTGTTCACGCCAGCAACCCTGGCTCATGAGGGCTGTTTGTCACTGGCCTGACGGCAGCCTCATTATCTGCCAATCCAAATTTTTAAGAAGAAAACATTGAAGCAATACGGTGGAGTACGATTCAGATGAACTGTGCAGACAAAAACAAGGACGCCACAAATGACGTGGTGACTTAAAGACCCTACCTCCATTTAGCAGTTTGGGTCTGGACAGTACTGAAAGAAAGATCTTCCCTGACCAAAGAATGAATATTTACATGGTAAATTGAAACCCTTTAGATTCTAATCCTGAAAATTTGAATGCTAATTCCACTTTAACAGCTGAAAGTCCACTGAAATATAGTGTGGTAGTCTTTAAGTTCAAAATAAATCAATGCATAACTGTTTCAGAACAGGGGCCTCTACTTTAAGGAGTTCTTACGGGGGGGAATGTTTTTATTCTGTTTAAGTACCACGCAGAATTATAGAGGAGTGCTCTACAAAAAATAACATAGCCAATCATGTCCTTGTTCGCTCGGTTTTCCCATTGCCAAAACCCGTCCTCGGCATTTAAAACCACACTTACCCCGGCGTAACCTTTCTGAATTCCTTAAAACGCGACGCTCCCGTCCGGGCGCGGCTGGGCGGCCCGAGGAGGCGGGCGGCCGGGGCGCTGCGCTGAGGAGCCAGCTCTTCCCTCTTGGAGTAAAAGCAGCCCCGCTT